TTTTCATTGTCAGCCAAAGACATTGCCTTTTTCCAACTTCTTTCTTTTGCATATTAAAGAGTACTTCTGTTCCATTATTAGTCACAAAGGCAGTTTGCTGAATAATTTCCTTTGTTTGCGAGACTGCCACAATAGAAAGAACATCTTGCAAAAGAAAAAGGGCTTACAAAATAATTTTTAAAAATCTGCGCAACTCAGACCTTACTCAGATACTTAATCTACATTTCCATCAATTAAATACAAATTACTTTGCTGAGTTATAAGTATCACTTTTCATTACTTCAAAAAAATGCAGATGAACAATGAAAGGTGCAAGAGACCTAAATATAATATGGCCATTTATTTTCTGCTTTAATGTCACTTCCATGTTGTACAGCAAGTATTATACATATCAGAATTCATTAAAGAGGGTTTTTCTTCAGTTACAGCTCAATATCATAAACATTCATCACAAGTCTGTCTCATCTGTACAGACCCTGAAAACAGTCTTAAGTAAAATATTAGTACATCTAACAACAGCCAGTTCCAGTTAGACTAGCAGTCTAGCTACACAGACAAAAAAGATACATTTTTCTGAAGTCTATGTTAAGTTCCCTGAATTTTTTCACGCCCATAGTAAATAACCAAAGGAACCACTTAACGTAACTCTCATGACTCTCAGAAACATCTGTGTTAGGCAAATAGCCAGCAACAAGACAAACTTTCAACAAGTGATTTCAGAAAAACCCTGTCACCTCCTTCTGCCGTCAAGAACCTTAAGTGACTGAATGAAATGACAGTCACTACTAACTAAACTAAGCAGGATGCTTTATTCTTTAGCCAAGTCTTCAATTTGTATTGTCAGACAAGAAGTAAGAATTTGAACATGTGTGTGTACATAAAATAAACTTGCATTAAATAACAGCAGTAAACAAGAAGTTCATTTATAATAAAAGCAAAAGTATGTTTTTCCAATTTCCAGAATTCGACAATGTGTAAATACAAAAACACATAAACATTCAACCACTAAACTACATTAAACACAGGAGTCTCAAATTTCAGTGCTATATTACCAAACTTCTGTAATACCTGATCATACTCCTTTAAAGTTCTTTTCTATAGCTGGCAAGTGACTTGTTCTGCATTTTGCATCTATTATATTTTACGTAACTGCCACAAAATATGCACATTTTCAGGACACACACACACCTCCCATACTTACACATTTAGAAGAAGTCTCTATTTAAAAATACATACAAATTAGTTTTTTAAGGCTTTCCAGAAAAGCCTGTCAGCCGTCTTACTCTTGACCAGCTCTTTGCAGATTCTTCTCAAAAATGTATGAATCTGCTAAAAGGAAACTGAACAAGTGAAACACTACAAGAGTACTGTCATCCTTCTTGTGCAGACTACAACTGGGCCCACCACAGTCTATCCTGGGCAACTATGAAGTCATAACATTATGTGATATAGGAGCAGGCCCTGTGCTGGACAACTGCTACATCTTTGGTTAGCAAATCTGAGTTCTGTATTGATATTATACTGGTATCATATTTACACTAGAATTCAGATAATCTCAGATATTCAATAAGCGTTATAACGGGAACTTGCAAATCTTTGAGCCTTCAAAAGCTAAAAGGAAATCTACAAACCAAGTTAGTTTTATTTACTTCAGCATTGTTAACATCAAAGACGCCTTAATGATGCTTTCCAATGAAAATGCAACTGACTGCAGTACCAATACTGCGGCCTTGAATAGCTAAAAAATTGAAGCTAATGGAAGTAAAAAAAAAACCCTCCATGGTTTTGGCTGATTTGAGAAATGCAAAACCTAAAAAAAAATGAAAAGTAACGTTCCAAATGATTTGCATTTTAATGGCTGAATATTCTTAGAGCAGACAATTCCTTTCTAAGGTTTGGGTTTTGTTTTGACAGTTATGCCTTCATATATAGATAAGAAGTTTACATAAGTAATTTGAGCCAACCGGTGTGGTCACACATAGCCTTGCAGACCTTTCTGGTCCCTGTCCACTTTTCATCATCTGATACCCCAAGGTTCCTATTTTCCTAGCAAAACTGAATGGGCAGGCAAGAAAACGGCAATTTAAGAATGTGTTACTTCGCTAACCATAAAGAAAAATTAATCACCAGCAACAGGTGTTCTTCAAGTCGTGTAATCCCCATATAAATTCTAATTACACTCCATCACTTGAAACCAGAAAGTTTTCCTGTGTATTAGTCATAAAAGACACGTTTGCTTCCTTGCTTTTCCCTTTTCCGTATTCAGTACAGGACAAATAAGATGAAACACTGCTGTTTATCATATTGGTTGCTTCTCAGTAACAACATACTTGGAAGGACTATGAGAAAGATGGACAGACAAGCAAAGCACAAACGTACACTGGATGTCTCTAAGAGCTCTAGTTACTTACACTGGCTATTTGCTACTGACCTTTCTTGCAGAGGTTCTGCATGGGCACTCTAACTACAGTCACCTGGCTGTCACAGGTACCTACAATCACCTGGGAGAAAGCATGGGAGGCTTTCAGGCAAATAGCAAACGCAGAACCATTTTGTCAAACACTGCACCAGCTCTCAAAGCCTCAAAGATAGCATTCGACGAAAATGAGTGAATGAATGCTAGGAGTGTCAGGGTGTACTCTCCTAGTGCCACAGTCACACAGACACCAGTGAAAAAGGAGAGGGGGACAGTACAAACTTACCTAGCACCAGACAAGACTACAGAGAACTATCCATGCGTCAATCTGAATACTTCATTTGTCCATCAAACTTCCACGGTGAGCTCACAAACCAAAAAAGGCTTGGCTTTCACAACACAGCCCAGAGATGATGAAGGGGAAGACCTCTATGCCACAAGACTTTTCAAATCAATCCTGTATAAGCTTGAAATATGTATCCAGTGGCATTAAGGACAGAGCTAGAAGTTCTGATCTGACCAGCTCCAGGCTGCTGGCAGCCAGGAATTCTCAGCTTGGAAAGGTCTTCCAATTCTGAGGAGGTCAACATAGATCTTGAGCATGCACTCTGATCCTGGCAAACAAGCAGCCCTGGACAACTGGCAAATAAAGTAATCCTTAAGAGTCTGGCCATTAATCAGACAATAAAAACATCTTGAATGCCTATCAGATGATGTAAAGTCTTAGATATAGCAACCAAAACACTGCACAACTGCGAGATTTGTAGTATGACAGCAAGCACCTTCTGCTTTATACGTACACCTCAAGTAGGGAGAGGACAGCCAAGAATGCACCTGCTCCACACAATACAAGGAGAAATTTGTCAGTAACGTGGCTGGGCACAGGGCCACGCAAGGTTAGAATACACATGGAAACTCATACGAAGAAAAAAAGAACCCAAGTTATTGCAGGTATAAATGGCACTGAGAAGACACTTTGCATTTCATCACACTTCTCCCTAGGCTAATTTATACCCACCAACACTAAAACACAGGTTCCATGAAACTGTTATTAAGAAAAATGTTTATTACATCATATCAATGACAAATGGAGCTTAGAATCTAACATTCAAACATAACATAGAACCTTAAAAAAAAAAAAAGCACGTCTTTTCAGTTTAGCTTCCCAGCAATAACATTAAAAACCATACGGCACTGCCTCCAAGAACACAGTCTTAAAATCACTACAGTACCCTGAAATAAATAGGGATTTGCAACATTAATAGATTTTGAAACTTTATCGGTAGGCTTCCTGAACTTCCAATGAGTTTTATAATTCTGAAACAAAACCAGAGCCTGTTACAGTTGGAATGTAGAGCACTGCATGTACCGACTTCTCCATCATTGGAAAAACAAAGACAGCAATAAAGAAGTTTTAAAAACAAAATAACAATTTAAAAAAAAAAACCAAACAAAACATAAAAAGGAAAAAGTAACCTCCCCCCTCAAAATGAGAAAGACTAAAAATAGCAAGAATGAAATGACTCACAGTTTTGAAAAGCAGAAAACTGTTTTTAACTACAATACTGTCAAACCACACAAAACACTCCATTATTCTTTCAACAGATATTAAGTAAATGTTTCAAAAAACCCTGATTTTACTAAAACATTTAAGTGAATGCAATGGAAACTAAGCTGTATTCGGAGGCCAAACAAAATTTCTCCCTACCAAGTATGATGTGGTTTGACAATAGTATCAAACCGGTCTAACATTTACTTGTTAAGAGAGTCTTGCAGCCCTCCTCCTCTCCTGCCACACTTTCTTACTCCTTTCCTTTTGAAAGCACTGAGACTCTTCTGACCTAACAGTGAGTCAATGCACAGAACTAATTCCTGAAGAAACTTTTTTTTTTTTTGGTTAAGATTAGCTTTCAGATCAGAACACAGATCCAACAGCAATGCTGCAGAAAGGAGCATGGGGCTGGCAAAGGGGACAGAAAACAGAACTGTAGCTATTCATTGTACCAGCTGAGCTGAACCTTCAAACTCCAACTTCAGTCACTGTAACTCAGCTTCAAACCTACAAAAGTCCTTTCTTGAGCACAGCTCTGTTGTATGCTTTATCAACTACTGACTGGTTTCATTACTGATACAGTTGTTTTCAAGTAAGTTTGAGTCATCAGGGTCTCAACTGAAAACACAGGCAGAGATTGCCAGTCCATCACATCAGTTGTTTAAGACATCCTCACAACTTTCTGTTACTACTGAAAATCAAATCATCCTACAAATATCTGGACAAGGCAAAGCTCAAAGTTTTTGTGGTTCCCTATCACGGCCAAATAACATTAACAACTTCCACGTAACTCAGTCAATATTGAAGAGTACATTTTTCCTTCTTGAGAAAAACCAAATTTTAATTGGGAATTTCACATTTTATTTCATTATTTTTTTCTTTTTTTCATTGCAGTGTCAGCATCAAAAGATTTTGTAACACAAAGATGCAACACTAAGATCCAGAAAATGTAACATTGGAATATTAGGTAGCAGATTTCACATCAGTACTACTCACAAGCTAAGAAGTTCACTTTCACAAATCATTGCTTACCTTTTCTAATGCAGATTAGCTCATGTACACCGCAAGTTCGTTCTCCACCTATGTGGAAATAAATCATTAGAAAATATTAACAAATAAAATGTAGTTGCCTTCTTAATAAGGATTATACACAGCATAAGAGAAAAAGCTGTAAAACCATGTCATTTAATAAAAATGCCAAAGATTGATTTAACAAGTTTTCAATTTATACATTATATCCTTGGAGAAAGCAACAAATGCAGCTTTGGCTTATTGCTAACGACGGTGCAGTCTGCAGAGTTTTACATAGAATTTATACAGATAAACTTACAAACACAAGCAAATTAACTGAAGCCACACTAATATTTCCCAAGTATAAAACATAATTTCCTGTTCTGAGGGAACTACCATCTACAGAATAATTCTCAAAATATCAAAAATATTTGTAATGTAATGTAATGCCAAAGTAATGTTATGATTGTCTTCCATGGTGGGAAAAAAAAAGAGAAAGCCTGTTACTAATTTTACCTGGAATTTCTCCTTAAGAGTTTTTTTTTTTTATTAACGTTGGAATTATAGTAGTAAACAAAACACCAACACATAATATACCTAGTGAGGACAATGAAGGAATTCACAAAGGAAATACAAGCCTCAATGATACTTTTGAATGGGAAATTAAGTATCAACGAGTCTAATGATCCCATGAGTTTTCTATAGTCAACAACATTACAAAACCCAGTTATAATACCAATACCATAACTCCCTCTTTTCAGGGCATTCTAGAAGCTGGCCAATATCGTTTCCATTCAGAAAATATTCTTGAAGGAAAACATAACACAAGTTTTAAAAAAAATAAATCTAGTTTTATCACAACAATGCTCTAAAAAAAAATACCAAACAAACTTTGGGAGAAGGCTACAGTCTTTAAAGTCATTGCAGTCATCTCCAGGCTGCAAAAGAGAAACTAAAGGAGTGACTGAAACTCTTCTCCCTAGATTTTCTTCCCCCGATAGACTTAAATTCAGCAGTGAAGAAAGAATAAAAATTACTGGGAAAAAAAAAATTCATTACACAAATGCTAGACAGTTAGTTAAAAATAAAGATTCACCTAGAAATGACTGAGAGAAGAACAGTGAGCAGCATTAGATTTTAATTATATACTGTCCTGAGTGAAATCAACCAGCTTGAAATCTCATCATAAATTACTGATTTTAGGTTTGGATTTTGCATTGCTAGCTATTGTTTTCTAAAGAAAAAGACTCTTATTTCAATCATTTAGATGCTAAAGTATGATGGTGTTCCTCTAAATAAAGCTTTAACATTAATCGCCACGTTACTTTTTATTGACCACAAGGCTACATAATAAGTTTATACAATTTAAGAAGCATTCATTCAGGATTTTAATTTTTCCTTTTTATTTTGTTAGAAAATGCTGAATGGTATTTCTTATTTAATAGGTGATTAATCTACTACTCTTTTTCGAAACTGTTCTTGGATGAAAATCAACCTAAATAAAAATACATCAAATGACCTACATGTTTTAAAAATAAAGCTGAAGAAAGCTTCTTATATATTTTATATTAACTAATTCATAAAACACATGAAACATTATCCTCAAGTGACCGAGACAGATTCTTCTTTTCCCTAGTGCTCTTCAAAACTGGAACTAATACACTATTGACACCTTGCTTTCACTCACAGATTAACAAACGAACATAAGTTTTTCCACCTTTCCAACTCCCAAGAAGTCTCTTAACTTTGAATAACCTAGTCATTCAAAGAAACGAAATTGAAAATATGAAAACATTTTGCATGATAGCAAGATGTCAACTGTTAATTTAGCATTTCGGTTCGAAATGACTAGTTTTGTGTTGGCTAGCCCACAAATCCCAAACGTTCAGTGGTATGACCCTCTTAAATTTTACAGTCTTGAAATGTTACTTTGAAGTAACTGATTTTAATATAGTGGTAGGCCATCATACTTTTATAGTTAAATAAAATTTGATTTAGATACAAATTATTGTTAATTCTGTTTCATCTTGACTATGAACATGATCTCCTATTTAACAGTTTAAAGTTTTAAGTGAATTTGCATATATAACTACACAATACTTCATCCAAAATGTAATCTGAGACTACAAAAAGCCCACCTGGGGACATAAAGCTTCTCATAATTTCACACAATGGAAGCAAAATGAGAAACAACAAAAGATTAAGTAATTTTAGAAACGCATATTCACCAAAACATTTGGATTTTCTTGAGCAAGAAGGACCACCTCATGGCCCTAAATTCTACATCATTCAAACATTCAGCACAAACAAAATGGCCAGATATTTTCGAGGCAGCTGAAACATCTGACGAAGGTTAATTTTCTCAATTTAAGACAAGAGATTTTGTATACCAAGTCTTTATTTGCCAAAATTACTATCATACCAAAAAGATTAAAAGTTGTACATCAAAGAATATAAAGCACCATCTGAATTTTGTATTGATTAAACTGCAAAATTTTATGTCTTTCTAAAACTAGTACAATTCAAAGTTCAACTATGTTTGGACTTTAGCTGAAACTCCACTACTAGGTGCTGAAAATAACGGGCTAGAAAATTTAACACAGGCATTATCATAGAGTGATTTAGGGTAGGAATGACCTCTGGCATTCTGAGAGACTTCAGAGCAGGACCACCTTTACAGGACATTCCTCTGGGCCTCAACCAACCAAGTTCTCCAAGGACCGAGATTCCATGACCTCTCCAGGCACTACCAGTTCCAAGGGGAAGTCGGGGAAGGTGTCACTCCCTCATTGTGGGCATTTCTTCCTTATAGTCCGTGGGAGGTTGGGGGTTAATAGAGAGCATCTGTCACTCAGTTTATTGATGCCCTGCTTTAAACTGTGACATAGCCAGTCAGGATTTCTCCTTTATGTAGCTCACATGCATTGTCTCATGTGCTTTCACTGTGTACCTGAAGAACCCATCTCCATTTCTTAAGACACCCCCCTCTCCTTATATAGTGAAAGGTTGCAGGAAGAGTCCCCTTCAGGTTTCCCCAGACTTCAAAAACGTATTTCCAAAGCTTCTCTTCATGTGCCACTTACTCCAGCTCCCCAGCAGCTTCGCAGCACTCTGTTGGAGTCTCTCCAGTTTGCCAGTGTCTCTCATACTGGGTTAACACAGCTGGGCACAGGGTCAGTCCACATTGCTGCAGAGGCACACGGCTGGTCCATGTTCAAGTTGCTGTTCACCAGGACCCTCATGTTCCTTCCTTTGTGCAGAGATGCTCCTGGACAGTCTGTCCGCAGCTGGTAGTGCTACACGGGCTTGGACTTTTCATTTGTCCTTGTTCATGCAGTTCCCTTCAGCCCATTCTTTCAGCTTGCTGAGCACTTGCCAGGTAGCAGCCCTGCCCTCCAGCATATTAACTGCTCCCCTATCAGGCATCACCCACAAACTCAGCGAGGCTGCATTCCATCCCTTCGACAAATGTGTCACACAGTCTCAGTTCCAGCATCAATACTGTGGTGCAACTTAGGGTACTGCATATAAATACATCACTCTTCAGTAACAAATCCACTTTAGTAGCTGTAGCAGAACATTAGACCATATCACAAATGTCTTTGTCATTGGGACTGAAAAAACATTCAACAAACATTCACTTAACATTTTATTCAACATTAGACAACAATTTTTCCCTTGACAAATCCATGAAATTCCTGTGCATAATGACAATACTGCACAGACTGAGCAGCACGAGCAGGGTGAGGGGCACAGCGTTCATTACAGCCCTTGAGAGCCCACCCTGTCAAATCACAGAGGAGCAGCTGTTGCTCACGCACAGTGATGGCAAGGGATGTGCACTTCAGCAGAGCTCCTTCACTCCTGCTCTGTGATCCCATGTCAGGCACAGGCATAGTCAATCTACAAACCACAGGTAAGGCTGGCCACCTGCCTCAAGCGTGCAGGATTCTCAAGCGAGAAGGCAACAGTGCTGTGCAGCAAATGCATAAAACAGAGGTGTTATGGTGCAGAAAAATAAAACGGGATACAAGTGAATAAACCTACCACACTGTTGATGTTAACGTGTCTCAAGCACGTGGAAATACTAATGCTTTTGCTACGAATACAAGATACTTAGGAAACTCCTTGTGCTGTTTCATAGAACATACTACACATTTATTTTAGAAGGCAACTATAGTGAAAGTGTTCTGGCTTATGTATACCAACAAAACAACCCCTAGAAAAACTGCCTCATAACATGAACTGCTTTTAAGGAAGAATCTGGTTTTAGATCAACAGACAGCTAGCTGTAAAGGAAAGTACACAAAGCTGAAAAGGCTTTCACAGCTGGCATCGTTATGGTATTTTTCCTTAAAAAGTTATAGACACCCATTAGCCCATCCTCACCCACGGTGTAAAATCACCTCTGCATTCCTTTAGTACCCTTTTCACAATTTTAGTCTACAAATAATATTGCATTTATAAAAAATGAAATGTTTAAAGTTGAAAGCTTGGAAGTGGTCAAAAAGCAAATTAAAAAGCCAATGTTTTAATTTATTAGAAAAGAGACAAGTTAAAAAATCTAATTTGGTATTTTGTATACTTATTATGCACCCACATTTTGTGTATTTTGTGCAGTTTCGGTCACCCCTCTGTCCCACCACCTCAAACAATAAATATAGAATCATAGAGGTCACCGAGAAAGGCAAAAGAAGTCAATAAAACCAGATAAAACACAAATCGTTTCCATATGAGGAGTGATTTAATAGACTAAGACTCTTGGACCTGGAAAAAGAGAGACAACAGATGGTGGATGTAAGCAAGTGAACAAAGAACAATTATTTACTGTCGAGCCTATTAATAAGAGAAATAAGTATCAGATTAAATTAGCAGCAGACTTGTTCAAGACCAGAAGTTTTCAATGGTAAAAGTTAGACATCAACACTCTGGTTTTATAATACAAATTCCTACTGTAAACACTATCTCCTCTGCTAGCACCATTTAAAGTCATTGCTATCTATTAATTTCTTAGCTTAAAAGCCTGAGAGTATCAGCTGTGGTTCCCTCGCATCATTCATTACAAAAGC